CCCCCCTCTTCAGGATCCATCCCAGAGTCTGTCTTGTTTTGTTTAAGTAGAGGTTTTACGGCGCTCGCAACTGCATAAGGTCATAATTATGGGCGCCAAAGAGTCTGTCCGCTTACACAAGAAAGTCTGGGATGAACAACTGACAGTTGAACACACAATCGTGGAGAGTGGTGCTGTGATCACTGGTGAGAGGGATGAGAGCGAGAGTGAGTTGAAGTGTGTGAAGGAGTTAGTGGATGAGTGAGTGAACGAGTGAGTGATGAGAATGCTGAAATGGTAGGCTCTAAGTTTAACACTATTAGGTTATTTAAGGGGCGGGACCTCCGATGTTAGCGTCCATCTTCGAAAAAACTGAGCCAAACAGGACATTCGGGTAAATTGCCTTTCTCAAGGAGACAACGTCGGACCGAGTTGAGGCTCGAGTGAGTGTGTAAAGGGGACAGTTTGTGAGGGTCCAGTGAGGGAATGAACAAGTAAATACTAGTGAAAAGGTGAATGGGAGTCAACGAATGAGTGAGACAGTGAGTGAGACAATGAGACAGTATACACACATACACACACACACACACACACACACACACACACACACACACACACATACACACACACACACACGCACACACTGTATCTCACTTTTGGTTCCTATGAGCTTAGTACATAACCCCTTGTCGACGATACTACTTCGACTACTAGTGAGACAGCCTACCAGCAAAAAGATAAAAGGGTCTCGATAAAATGAAACGTTGTTATTAAATCTCTACGGGTGGTTCTCGAACTTACGTCTTTGGAGGGCGATGTGGAGCAAAACAACAGAGTACAGCAATCTACAGTTGGGAACATTTCAATAAAAATATTAACATATTCACATTTACTGCGTACTGGATTCGGGTAAAAAGAAGTGTTGGGATTAAGGTAGGTAGTTTTGTTAAAAATCTGAGATTTCTTGTAGACTCCCGATGTGTATAGAGTGTGCCAGAGGGTTGTGTTACCTTATAAAGCAGTTTGAATTTGGAAAATATCTTTGTCGGTTCGAAAATTATGTAGGTTTTTTAGTTGTTGTTGTTTTTTTTGGTGGGTTTTTTGTATTTTGTTTGTTGTTGTTGTTTTTTTGGTATGTGTGGGTTTTTGGTTGGGTTTTTTTTCAATCTACATTTTTGGCTGAAATATGCATTAACTTAAGGACACCCGGTGCGAATAATATTAATTCTTATGCGCAAAACCGGTGCGAATAACCACTTCCTTTCATTATTATTGTTGCCTACCCCTAATCTATCAACTGTGAATGAAATGTCCCAAACTAGTAAATTGTACAAACTTTTTTCTTTTTGAACACGATAGGTAGGTTTTATTTAAAAGTAAAGGATATCGTCACGTTATTCTCTTCTCCACGGCAAGGTGGTGTCGGTAGCATGGTGGTGGTCAAAGATAGTACATAACAAGATGGTCCACTCAGCCAAAAAAGTGTCCGCCGGAAGTCCGCTCTTTGCTTCAGATGGCGCTG